GTAAAAAAGTGAAAAATAATAAAAATTAAAAAGGATTGAAACATTAAAAATGTTTTTAGCTTTATATTATATTATTAAAATATACATCAGTTTTTCCAATATCTATTTTTCAAATAATTTTCACAAAATATGCAAGAAAAACATGCAAGAAAAACGTGCAAGGAAAAAGATTTTTAAAAATATTTTTCACATGTTTTTACTCGTTGAGAAATCAATTTCATAAATTTCACTAAATATCTAGGAATTATAAAGGGCACAACGGAAAAAGGATTCAAGTCAGAATCTATTTTATATTCCAAATATTAAGTTTTTTATGCCAATATTCACTTTTCTCTTCTTCTAAAAAAAAAAAGTGAAATTTAATTTACGATCTAAATATACTCTCCAATTAATTCGTCTTTAAAACTTGCTAACTACAGAAATTTTTATTCGATTTGAATAATTTTTTTTATTATGCTAATGGCTTGAAAAATGACAGAAACTATCATTTAACAGACATTAAAATTACAATAAATGAATATATCTACATATAGCTATCCACAATCCATTGTCAACTCAAACAATATCAATGTTAGATTATCAGAAAAATTGAGATCTACATTGAAATCAAGCTTCATTTACTTACTAGTCGTATCAAATCCATCCACGAAGGGGCATTGCTGTTTTGCCGTAGTAGAGGCTTTCGTTGGCAGCCAACAGAGTAATGAGTCCCATACCGGATTACACCAGAGCTCTAAAAAATATTAAAGGAGCAGCGCAATTCTCGCAAAAGAGTCGATTATAATGCAACTAATATTACGTGTGTAAATCAGTAGATGTTACAGAAAGAATTTCTAACAAATTAGGTTTTAAAAAAGCAATGAATTTTATAAAACATGTTCAATCAAATAATTCAATGTTTTAAAAAACAATTTTTTTCTCAACAATTTTTGATAAAGAATATTGCACTGTTTATCTATTATCTTTTTTGTTATAATTATCCTGATAAAAAAATCTTACAATATCTCATAACATTTTTATAAAAATTCTTGATATTTTAAATTTATAAAAATTGCTGGAAAAGTTATTTGGCACTTCTTAAGATTTCATATATTATACTTTCTCTCTTTTTTCAGAAATTATAAAATAAAACACATTAGAATATTTCAAAATTTATACAGAAAAATTAAAAAAAAGATTTTCTTAACATTTTTGAAAAGTATCTCAATTAGTATAATAATTTTTTTAATTTTCTAGAAAATAGAAATCTCAAAAAATCAGATGAATTCTAAAATTTATATAGAAATTTTTAAAAATTATATAACAATTTTTTATTAAAACAATAACAAACATTTATGATATAAAAGTAAAATGAGCATTATCTACTGCGCCGACTCCCATTAAATCATTTCACTTTTATATTTTGAATTTATCGAAAGTCTAGATTACTTTTATTTTATAAAAAATTATGTCTTATACGCAATCTTCATATCGAGTAATTTTATAAGAATTTAATAAGTTAAATTCATATGTATAAGAGAACATTTTGCAAAATGTTCTGTCATGCATGTAAATTCATCTTATTAAAGTCTTATGAAATTTATTATTCCGATTTGTGAGAAATGCATTTAATATAATTCTAAATTTGATTTAAAAAATTAATAAGAAAAATTAATAATTTGTTTCTTATAAACAATTTTCTTTATTTATGTACGAAAATAAATCAGTGAAAATGTTTTAGTGGAAGAATACGTAAAGAGATAAATATAGTGACAAATTAAAAATATACTTTCTCTCTATTTGCTTAAACGTGAATTAAACGCGAAAAATGACAAAATCATTAAGGAGCATACCTCCGTAAGGCGCCACGAAATGTTTGTATTGAACATTACAAAATTCATGAGTGTTATTGCCGTTAACATTTAAGCTGTCCATTTTTTTTCTAACAGGATTCCCATTTTTTGCTCGGTGTCTCTAAGCTTTTGTTCCAGTGTTTGCCACGCAGTCAACAGAAGTGTGCAGCGCCCTGTAAATAAGCTCTTCTATCTCCTTTTCTTTTCCTTCTTAGAGCATAATGCTTCCGCTTTCTTTTTAAATAAATGAGAAAGATTCTGAAGTAAATTGTGGATTATATTCTCTTTTTGTTGTGCGGAAAGAATATAGTTCCTATAGTTTGGATTCACATATCACATTTCAATTAGAAGCAAAAAATTGCTTGATTTTATTCATATAAAAAAATGCAGATTGAAGAACTCCGTTAAAACGAGATGATAAGAATATTGTCGATATATATGCACTCTTTTAAATAAAAAAAAAATATAATAATTTCAATTGAAGCAATGTATAATATGCTAAATTTATGATTCTCTTCAGTTTCTGTATTGACATTTACTATCTTTATTATCCATAAGCAAAAATTAATTTGTTTTGATTAGATATTCAATTTATAATAATAGTATTAAAAATTATAGACATGTAGATTTTATATATTATAGTACAATGAATACCATACAATGAAAAATTTTTACTTGAAATGAATGAACCAGTCTCAGTCACAAATATAGAAAGGGAATAAAACAGGGAATAGAAAAGTAACGCCTTTATAATTTATATACTTAATTTATATACTTTTATTATTGTTTTTTATAATAACGATTTGATAATGTTGTGAATGTTTGCTGTGTTTAATCTAATAACTAAGTATTTAATGAAATTTAATTTCCAAAATTAAGTATTTAATGAAATTTAATTTCCAAAATTAAGTGTTTTTTTTATTTGTATTTTATATCAGAAATAACGATTATTAATATTTTTTTTTTAAGTTAAGTATTAAATTCGTTTTTCATATTGAACATAAAAGAGTCAATTAGTATTCGTACCGATATTCACGGTCTTATTAAGCTTTCATGTGAAAGAGGGTCAAGTTAAGAATCAACACGTTTTTCTGATATAGCAATTTAAAAAATTTAGAGACTGTTTAAAAAAAATGGTATGTAATTTTATTATTCAAGAAAAAAATAAGTTCCTAGAATAACTCACATTGTATAGTCAGTCAATTAGTATATAAACATAGATTTGAAAATTTATACTTATCATAAATTACATTTTCTGTTATCTAAGCTCATAAATATAATTTAATATGAAATTTTTGTATAAAACTTTGTAAAATTAAATTAATAAGATTAACAAATATAATTAATATAATTAA